GAAAGCGTGGTTCAGGATGGTGAAGAGAAGACATTTGCCGTATGAAAAAATAGTAGTCTGCACCCCATAATCGTGGTTTTCAGTGAGCGCAGAACTTTGAGTCCGATAATCGACGGTCCCGACGTTGAAACCAAAAAATTACAATCGAGAGGTACCTTGGGGTAACCTCACAGGGATCGTGCAACTACCAACTAAAGGTACAGAATGTCCAATGATACCGCGAATGTTAACTTCTATAGGCACTATCACGGCACAAGGGTAGAATGCAGTTAGAGCTGATTGTGGATTGATGGACTCAACACTACCAGTACCAACAATAAAGTCATGCTTTTGACCAGAAGCGGATATCAACGTTCTAAAAACATGTGACGAATTCTGAGACAAAACAGATAGAGAAAGAGTGGAAATATCTTCAGATAATGCCTTCATGTCAGTCTTTGGGTCAGAAGTTAAGGGACACACTTTCTTGGACTTACAGACAAGTTGAACGTGTCCTGTTTTACCGCAGATAAAACACTTCGCTCGTCTGTGGGGGCATGAATATCTGGAATGTTTTCGTCCACAAGACTTGCATTTCCCAAATTTTTGAGCCATCGGATTAGGGTTACGATCTGTGAAGTGAAGTGTTGATGGATTTGGGGCACGAGAATCTGTTCGAGGTTTGAATTTGTTGTTCGTCTGCATCGTTGAATTATTTCTTTTAGAATAATTTAACAAGACTGCTTCCTCAGTCTTAGTCACATGCTTCACATCTTCATACTGCTCGCATATTTTCCGAATAGTTTGAAATTTCTGATCCGGACAGAGTAGCAGCTTCTGCTGAACCGCCGCTACACAGTTAATCGGCTTGAAGTGTTGAAGAACTTTCTTCTTCAATGCAGTGTAGGAAATATCGATTGGAGATTCAGGATACACTAAATTTTTGATCAACGTACACGCATCCTTGCCAACGAAATGTAGGAAATATACAGTGAGGTTCTTATCATCCATATCGGATTTTGTGAGGCACCATATGTCGAACCGTTCCAAATAATCCTCTACGTCACGCGCAGTTGAATTAACATCTAATGGTTCCATTTCGGCAGGCATGATGAATCGTTCCAATCGCGACGCCAAAATAAGAGAATTGAGTTTCGTACGTATATCGGTATAACCAGACGAACTAGAAATCCAGAATTAAGCGAAGTGTAACAACCAGCACGTATGCCTTGGAATTGGCGAATATATACAGCATATGGAATATTAAAACAAGAGATTAATCATTAGAGTATTAGTCATGTTCATCACAAGTACGAAACGCTTTCTTTAACATTTTCTAACCTTTTTTATATTTCCTTGCTAATACCGATCTTCTACTACCGGTTCCGTCGTCAATACCAATCCGCCTGGCTCCCGGATTCAAACTTGCCGATGGTGACGCTGAAGTTTTCTGTTTATTGTGTGTTACTTCTCGGGGTAGATAGTCTGGCGAAACTACATCGTTTAAATGCTCATAGGATGTTGTGTAATGTAATCTTTATGAAGGTTGCATTCCTTGAATATCTTGATTCGTCAAGAAACATGGGCTTTCTCGACTTGAATGTCAGATGCCATCCTCTGGGGATGGATCGCATTTTGAAGGTATGGGTTCGTTCTGATAAGACGATTCCTAAATAGCCGTTGGACTAATATACAAAGGCGTGGGAAAATACAGAGAAATGAGGAAAATTACGCGACCTTGTGGAGGTAAAGAGAACCATAAGTCACGAAAATGAAGTGGAAAAATCTCGAATCCACTATTACTACCAAGCAACATTCTGGACAAACTTTTGGCGTCACAAGCCAGATTCTGTGCGCAAATGAAAGTGAAATGCAACTAATTGAAACGTTTTTCCTTTTAGCGCAGTAAAAAATTTAAGTCGACTAATTTGTAACTCGACTCATCTGGTTCATTTGTTCACCAAAAACGTCACACTCCAAAGATTCAAGCAATATGAACAGCCGTTTTCGACGTCCTGAGAGAGCAGACTGGCAGTTTAAAGGGAAATCGAAGTTATGATTCCACGAACCCGAAAATACTGTCACCTAGTAGACACTCAGTCTTTCGTAAGTAGCGCAGAGTTCGGTTATCAGTAACATTCGTTTCTGCCAAATACTATGATAGAAAGATGTCCGTCATTGATAGCAATACCGTTAAAGTACAGAGGTAATCAGTCCTACCCAATATCAGCATAAGAAACAGCCGCAAAAAAGCAGATCGGTTGCTTAACTGGATAGCATTTTACTTCAAACGCCCACAAGATCCTTGAAACCCAGCCATACTTATCAATGTTGATTCTCCGTTCGAATTAACGATGCCCAATGACTATTCTACCCATTTAATTGACTGCTCACGAGTTATACGATTCACGTCATCTCGGCAATTTGTCAGTCACAATTTGAACTCTCGTTTCTTGCGATGCGGTTGCTCGGTTTGAGAATTTTACCCCTCCTCTCCGAATGCATGCTGATGCCCCTCCCGTCTCCTGCTAACTATCTGCCCTGCAGCAAAATGAACGATCAATGTGGAGGGGGGGGGTCAAAATTTGGGACCCTGAGGTTCAACTTGAGCAATTTGACAATTAGGCAAGGTCGACTCACTCGGCGATGCACACATATTATTGTTAAGTTGTGTGTTAGGGTCAGTAGGTAGTTGATGAGTCATCTTTACTTAGAAGCCGTTTCAGTGGAAAATAGTGTCCTTCGAACGGGATGACCAGGGAAATTCAGGGCGATGAGATGACAAGTGATAACGACCCTTTAACAACAATGCAGAGACGAACAGTAATGTTTTCGGAATGGAGTCATTTCTACTGATCAAACTTGGGGAAAATAATGAAATAAGCAGCTGGTTATTAAATTAGAAGGCGCGGAAACATGCAACGCCGGATTTCAGCGCACTTCACGTCGCGTCCAATTAGATGTTGTGAAGGGCCTAGAGGGCCGTTGAGTGACTGACCTGATCGATTTGTGTCAAACGGCTAAAGCGCATTCAACCGACCGGAATTCGGAAACGTATTGACACTACTCAGGCTGTAGTCTAGCGACACTGTTGGATCAATTCGGACACTCCATCGGGTGCTTGGTAGATGACGTGAAACAACTCATTCGGGTCGATCACGTGACATGTGTCACCTACATGTGGCACAGTTGAGCCTTCGGTTGAATGTTAAGTCAACTGATTTTCTGGCAAGATAGATGTTCAGGTATTCCCTTGGTAACTTGACGTTTTATGCGCCCAACATATTTCGCTGAACAACAATGGGAGAAAATACACAACCATATTCTGGGTGAGGTATGGCATATTGTTTGAGGATTAAGTCGAGCAAAAGATCGGTTGCAAACCAAAACTGCATAGTTGCAGACGGAAGCACTTCTGTTCACTTGCCCTGAACGAACGATGCACTGAAAACAAAAAAGGCATTGTGATGTGCTTTATTTCACTCCCTAAATGTATCCGCTCTGAGAGAAACTAGTTCCTAGCAGTTTTGTTGGACAGTTGTTATCCATTCGTTTGGGAAGTGGTCCAGATAGTGTCGAAATCTTAATGATGTAACCTTAGCCTCAAAGTAAAATACATGTCTGCGATTGCGCGCACCGAAATGCAACAACGGACGCAGTACTAGAATACCCAAGTGGAGGGCGACTGTACTGTGGCTCGGCGATAAACTTGAGAGTATCACAGATGCAACATGACTAGCCGTTCGAAAGAGCGCTTTACACATCTCAGTGCCACTACCTCCCCCCTAACGAAGTTGCGAGGCCAGGGAGGCCAAAAAAACTTGCTAACTACAGCCAAGAGGAATAATCACCCGAAGTGCTCTGAACCAGAAGATCAAGGACCGAAATCGGATCAAAATTATCTCCACTCCCGAAACCAGTTAACTCAAGCGCCCGTACGAAATTGGATCTTTCAAATGTAACACCCTTTCGGTGCCAAGCTGCGATGCCATCTGAAGGAAGTATGATGGCTAAGATACTGCCAGGTTTCTAAAGCCTAGACACGAGCAGTCGAGGTGCAGAGGCTGGGTTCGAACCGCGGAACTTTCGGTCAGTAACTTCGAGCTTTGACCACCGATTTATCTCAAGTTCCCTCAATAGCCGACATTCAAAAGTGACCTACTGTGCTAGTTAAGAGATCTTGCTGATTGGTTCTCCGTCTGCCTCAAAACTAGGGCGAACTGGTAGCTCATTCCCACTTGACCTGACGAAGTTTGTTTCAAAAACGAAATGTCAATCAGCTATAAATCCACCAATTATTTACCAAACCTTTCTGAAAGCACTATATGGAAGTGAAAGCCAGGATGAATTCATAACGATCACTTGCGGAATACAGGAAAGTGCGGGAAAACACTAAGTGTACGAAAGAATACGCCATACGTCTTTAGCCTCCGCGAACGCTTTCGGGGCACTAGCTAAAACGCTGTACAACCTGCTCCCACCATAGACTTTCCATTTCTTCCGTGTACGTAACAAATAAGACAGCTGTTAAAAATGATCAAAATCTTGTCAGGTTATTCCGATTGTTCAAACAGTGATGCCAGTGTAAACACTTATATACATGGGAGACATCACTTCAGTTGCTCCTCCTCTTATGACCGAGAGACAGCTCAGTGGTTAAGGCGCGAACTTTCTGGTTAGAACCTAAGCATTGCAACTCGACTGCTTCCGTCCAGGCTTGAACAAATTGTCAGTATCTCAGCCCTCGTAACGTTCCTTCCGGTGGAAACGTACAGAGCTGTTGGTATTACGACAAAGAAATACTGGGTTAGTCGGGTTCAGATAACTACTCGCAGTTGTGCAGCCAATCAGAGTATATGGTTTGGAAAACAACGCTCACACATGGAAAGTCCATCACGCTTGCGACTGACTGACCTAGGTATTGCGTACTGGTGTCGTGGATTGCGTGCTAACCACACTTGAAGCTACACCACTGACCGGATGTTTTCCAACAGGCGCTTTGAAAGAAAATGTCTATATTGGCAGGTTTGACCCGGAACGAACAAAGGAAGCCAAGATTAAGTTTGATAGTCTGAAAAAGATACCGGTCCAGGTGTAGAGCGATTGGCCTAGACAGAATATAACCTGATACAAATCTGGGATGTGGTCTATGTACAAACTGGATAGGAGTATGTGTGTAGGGAGGGGCAGACACTCAATTGCTGGTCTTAGTGCGTTTCTGTGAGGTGTTGCATGACCACACTGCGCGACGAACTGTGGAACTCGCACAATGGACAAACGAACTCGTCTGTCTGTGGTTTTGGTCCACGGACAGGGGCAGGAATTCGAGGAGCGATCGGTCGCGATGTGGGTGCAGGAGGTCGTGGAGGGGGCACTAATGGCCTGGGAACAATGACAATAGATGTGATTGGTTGGGTCTGAATGATTGGACCACTGGGGGCGACCGAAGGGCACAATGCGCGACCGGGAGTCACCTGAGGAACAACCCGGCGTCGTGGCAAGAAAGATGGTGGGGGTTGTGGAATGTATGGTTGCGTTGTTGCAATGACTGCTGTAGTGACCGTTTGCGGTACAGCTGGTGTTAAAGAAGTTAAAGGGATGGACAAAGTAGTGGCAGTGGTGGTAACAGGCACTTTGGGCAGAGGAGGGCAGTTGTGTACTGTTTGTCGGTGAGTATCCAGTTCCTCTAACCGCAAGCAAAATACGGGACACAAGTCGCATCCATGAAACTACAAATTAGAAGAAATCAGATAGGTCAGGGTGTAGTCAATGTAGCGTAATGAGGAAAAGTTGCACAATGGCATGACCAAAAGATGAACAGGAGACGCTTTTTGTTAGGATAATCATGTGCTCCAAATAACACTGCGGGACACACTAAGGGAAGTATTAAGCCGATATTCTCACTAAAAAAAGGCGAGAGCGTGTACAGCAGGAAACACTGAGTCTATTGCAACAAACCTGCTGTGCTCACAAATACCAGCTTACAATACGGATGAGACAAACTTAGACTTTGTCCTTGCAATGGTACACAAGTGTTACAAAACCGACCTTCATATCGTCAGAATTACTCAGCTGATTCTTCTTGTAAGAAACAGAAAACCATACGCGTAGTTCGATTGCGACAAACGGAAACGGCTACCAGCTCCAGCTTGACGGTCGTTGTCATCCCTGTAGGCTAACCTGTCGGGGTGAACGACTCGTACTCACGATTGACAAGTAAGAAGCATGACTCATCATTTGATGAGTAAAAGCTGCAACACATGGCCTGATTCTGCTTAAGAATCGATATAACATCAAAAGGCAAGTAGCCAAACATGGTGCTTTCGAAAACGACCAGTGAGGCAATGCTCACTCACTCGGATGCCTTTACACAGAGAATATCTTTCCCAGTGTGCTACCAAACGAGTACAAGAGGCCTTAACGAATTGTTCTCAACCAAACACACAGCAGACTGCTGCTTAGACATGGTCTGGAGGGTTATACAGTCTGAAAAGTCAGTTGCTACAGAAGTACTCATTGATCGTACTTCTTGTCACAGGGTCACATAATCACACTAATCCTTTCAAAGAGGAGGGCAAGCAGAAAGAGCCATTTCGGGAAGATTTCTTCAGCGAGTGGGGGAGTCTTTAACACAACAGCAGAACAGATTGTTAGAAAATGCAAATACTCCGAAATTCCAGGCAATGTTCTGGGAAATTATTCAGTTCCTTCGAATGATTATGTCCCGCACTATCAATATGCAGTAACTCGTAATAAATCTACGCAGTCTTCAACAAGAGTTGCCTCACAGTGCATTTCTTGGGTGGTTAAGGGGCTGGACATTGCAGGTTTTGCATCCTTAGACCTCGGCAAGCCCAACGGAATCTAAATGCATTCTCAAATTTGACTCAGCAGCATATTCTGCGACTGAAGCTTTACCTAGCTCTCCAGTCTTTGTGCACCGGTGCCAAATAGAGTGGTCAACCGAGGGTGTGCCAAGCCTTAAAGGGCATTCACATGCTAGTATACTGTCTACACATGCATTCGATATCATGTTCATTGGAACAAGTAAATGGCGCATGAACAGGCCACCGCTGCACGATGAATGACAATAAGGTGGTATTGGAAAGGAAATTGTTGACTGCCATTCACTGGTCGAGCTCAACATTTTTCGAGCAGTAACGGCACTTTTGCAGTTTTGAACCTGAGACAATCGTTTAGCCCAGTTGAATGGTGTATGACCAGTTTGAAAACCATGTGTGCATTGGTTTACGTCCAGCAACTCACGGTGGTTCAGTTTGCATCGGTAAGATACATGGCTTCCCTTAGGGGGATAAAATAACTCCTCAGAGAACAGAAACAAGGAATATGTAGGAGGAAGAGGGTCCCTCCAAATATAGAATTGCTAGCTGAAAACCTTTTCTAGGAGCACATGACCGCGCTGGATTAACCCACAATAAGCCAGGTGGTTCACATGTTCTGAGTCATTTGTAGTGATTCTAGTTGGTTACTCAAGTGGCAGCGGACAGCGTTTTGCCCGCGCATTCTTCAAGAATCAAGCTTCAAATTAATAAACTGGGTGGTATAACGTTGGAACAACACTTTGAAATAAACTTACCTGAGAGACAGGTCCAACGGCTCGACGAATATTGGGTATTGGAGCCTGTTCGCTGACCACTGATGTGGTAGCCATTAGTGGCAGAGAAGAAGGGATGGCTGGAGTTACTGGGTTGGTGGGTGTGCTAACTGTTGTGGTAGTGGTAGTGACAGGGGCGGACGGTGGGGCTATCCCGTTGCCCAATCGAATAAATCGGAATGAGGGTTTCTTTTTGGAGCACGATAGGATGTGGGAGACAAGTGCGGCCAAACGAGTGCAAGTAAACGGACAGCCTGTACAGCAGTAACGGTGCCCTGACTAGAAGTAGGGAAAATGATAGAGAATGATTGCGGTAAGAGCGACAAAAATAAAAAGCGTAGTGGTGTGAAAATCCATCGGTACAGCAAATGGTCGAACATCGAAGTGAATTGGAGGGTTTCAGTTCATAACTCTAGCGTAGCCGCAGTATCCCAGCCAGGATGTCTACACGGAGTGAGTGACAGCCATGGGTTGAAAGTGGAAAAAATCGCTCAGCTGTAGCGCCCTTTCAATGCCTAACTGCCGTGCCACCCGAAGGTTGCACGAGGGCTGGGATACTGCCAGGTTGCCCACGCCTAGACAGGGGAAGTTGATAGATAGAGATCGGGTTTGAACCTCACGCTCTAACCACTTAGCCAGATCTAAACGATCATAAGCTGTTTGGTGATAGATAAGGCCCTACGGAAGACTCATAGTATAGTGGTTCATTGAATACGTCTCTCCGCGCACGTCAAGCACGAAAAAGTCTACAGAAGTATGTCGGCTCGTGTGCTTAAATTATATACTGGGTTACACTGGCGGAACTTCACGGTCTATTCCCCCAAACAGGTTGATGATTAGGACCTACTGCAAAACTGGCCGCTAAGATACCATTTGATCAGTGTGACACCAACTACTACTGTCCTACAATTCAACTTTTGAGCCGAAGACTTCGTCTGGGGACCTTAACCATCATCATGCCAAGGTGTGAGACCTGGTTGTATTTCAGTCCACAAAAAAACAGGGAATACGGTGGTTGTTCCGCAGTAAGGCACTAGTGTTACTCACCGCCAAAGGAGTGCATATCAACAGGTGTAAATTCAAGCGGCCTAACAACGATATATGTTCCTACTAGAACTGCAATCGCTTACTATTTTCCGGCTCTGTGATGGGAGATGGTACGTATAACCCATAACCGACATCACTCTGTTTGGATGGATAAGTGTTTAGAGCGCGAGCGTACTGACCGGAAGGTTCGTAGTTCGAACCCGATCTCTGCATTTCCACTTCGCTTGCCTTGGCTTGGACAACCTGGAGCAATCTCATCCCTCGTGCTCCTGATGTTCCTCATCACGATTCCATTTGTACGAAGGTTTCCGTGAATTTTGAGTTCGATGACAGGGAGACATTGATCAGAACATGGATCGCATTCACGATTAACCGATACATAATTTCAAGTACGGATTTCTCATATTCAGCCCAAGCAAGTACACTACATAGAATGGTTATATAATGTACGGCATGAGTTTCGCCGCTGTTGGGCTGAAATCCAGTGATTTGTACTACAAGAAACCAGTTGACAGGAAATTGTGTAGTCTGCTGCGGAGAACAAGCCGCGCAGTAGTGAAAGAACAAGGACTTTGGCAATGTCAAATATGCACCATCCCTACCTGAAGCACATGCATATCCAGCTGGAAATTGGAGATGAATTTGAGGTGGCAGACACAGCATCTGAACACGGAAAACTGAGCGTCGATAGGATCACGTGAAATAACGTGTTCGGCAACAGTGTTCGCTCCGGGCCAAAGGTCACGGTGATTGGACTGTGACTTGATGTAGAGCGGACCGAGTTCGTGCAAACTAACGCCGGAATTCTGTTCAAGAGAAGCGCCAACTTTTCGACCCTCAGTTCTGAGACGATCGAGTACATCCACAGGAATGCTACAAAAGTGCTTGTTCGATAGATGAAGCGCCAAATCGTCCTGGGGTGCATTGCAAATTAAACATTGCTTAGGAGCTTTCGTCAGGCGAGTACACAACGCCTCCTGGAAAGTAAAAAAAATGCAAATATAAGTAGTGCAGAGAAAGAGCGGCACCGTGGAGCGCTGTTGTACGTTCACCCAGATTCAAGAAATCTAGTTTCAGGAGTGGGGTGCCCTGTTAAGTCCAAAAATGTCCCTAAAGTGTACCTGCCACACTGTTTGAGTCCACTGGACAAGAGTTGGATCGTGGGACTCAGCCAAATACTCTACAATGCCTGATGAATCTTTGAGAAGCATGGAATTAAGAACAGTATTACAGTGAAGCTTTTCCAGTGATCACCGATGGGTGACGGAAAACGATTTCTTAGAAGATGGGCAATATTCAGCGTGTTAGAACTTGGCTACTTAACAAGAATCTACGTTTAGTCTTCAATTTTACAGCAGATTTTAGCTGGTTATTAGTGGACTATAGCTGAGTGTTGTCCTCCTTTTTAAGGCACCATACACTGAGAAGAAATTTACCTTCGTGGTATGGCAACTCTCTTTACAAATGCCATTCCGGAAACGGTGAGAAAAATCAGAGACCCAAGATATACAAGAATGGTCCAAATATATTTAGTAGCATTGTCCATACTTCGTTGCGAAGTCCTGCGGAATTCATTGCCACGAAAGCCTCGGTGGTAGAAGACGCCGGAAACGTCGATCCCAAGGATACATCGCTGAAGGTATCGTAATCCGGCGATGTCCTTGTGTTGCTTTGATATCACGTACATCCTGCTTTTAGTAACAAGAGTGAAGAATATTTCATACAATCCAGTTGGCCACCGGCTATTTCCTAACGGGTTCCTGGCCCGCAACAGAAACATGGACTATGGGTATTTAGCTCCTCCCAAGCTTTCACTTCAAGGGTAGTGGTGAATTCCCGAGTCAGTATCATTCAAATTCTTTGCAACTATCTGACAGAGACTATTCCAGGTAACTGATGTGAGTTGCTAATTGTTATGTATGGGAAGCGGGTACGAACAACGGCTATACGCGACCTAAGAACGAGCGCAAGAATCCCCCGCTAAGACGCGAGCCCAACCACTTCTAGCGTAGAGAGAGAGAAGACCAGACCTTCAGAGGAGGCCAACCACTTCGTAGAGAGAGAGAAGACCAGACCTTCAGAGGAGGGCTTTTACTGCCCCAACCAAAGGCAACTTATAGCAGGAGCACCGTCCGTCG